TAAAAAAAAAAAAAAGAAAAACTTCCTGCCGGCTGTGTTACTGCAGCTGCGGTGCGGGGCTGTAAAGGTGTCAGCTGTGATGCTGCGTGCGTGTTTGCGATTTGTTAGGCTCGGCGTGAAGTTGGAAGGTGTCTGGGAGATCCTGGCCGGCGAGAGATGGCGTATTTGTTGGGTAGTGGTAATGAACGTGTCGTAAAACCTTCAACCCTTTTGCCAGAGAAGAACTAAGAAAAGCGGCAGTGATTGTATTGAAGTCAAGATACTGCCATGTGTTAACGCATTGTGATTTAGGTTGCTTTGATCTGGTCTTCTTTTCTTTTTTTCCCAAATTCTCTTCACTTCAACACTGGTCCACCCTGTTCTCGATCGGCTATAGCCGTGCAGAAGGAACTCATTCAGCTCCTTTTGCGCGTGCGAAAGTTACCTGCCTCAGACCGAGCTACGCAGCAGGCAGTTTTCTGGGAGTACTTCTGGCTGGCTGGTTAGCTCAGTTTTTCCTAACCTGAGCAAAAACCATTCAGCTCCCCCAGACGACGGGGCCGGCAGTGGAAGAGGACTCTGGCCATGCTTGTAGCAGTAATAACACGAGCGCCATATTGTAGAGCATCTCAGCGTGTGGCTGTGCTCCGCAGGGTGCTTTAATCAGGCCAAATTCTGAGCAAGTCTGTAGGTCTTTGTAAAATCGCAGCTCGCAGACTTAACAAAGTAAATATGGAGACGTTGTCCTTTGTGCAAATTGTTGAGTTCCTGCGCGGTAGTCCTGACCATGCTGCGCGCACACCATCCCCGTGCGAGGGCTGGGTAGGTTTCACCTGAAGCTGATGCCCGAAGGACTGCCAGCCTGCTCTGAAAGAAATGAAGGGATGAGGAATCCCTTTTCCCTCGTGTTTTTAGCACACTTCTGCTTGTTGCCTGCAGCTGTTTGATGAGGAAGGGGGTAACAACTTTAAGAAGAGAAAAGGAGCCATTTGGACAAAGGGCTTGTGAAGGGATGAGTTGGGTTTTGGATTTGTTGTGATTTTGCATGCAGGTACCCAGCTTCAGTGGTAAAGGAAAGCTGTATTGGATTTATTGGAGTAAAGGGACCAGAAACTGAGGAGGAGAAGGGGAAGAACCTGAAATCGGTGGTTTGGAGAGGTGAGAGAGCTCCGGCGAGTCTGGAGGAGTCTACCTGGAGAAGGACATAAGGGCATGGACGTAGAGAAGTGAACTTTCAGTTGCAGGGGGAGAGAGAGAGACGTGATAAAATCCTCAAGGTACTGGGTGAAAAGGGAACTGGCAAGGGGATGGAGGAGGCCCTGTGGGAAGTGAGAAGAGAAATAAATGAGATGAGAAGTTTGACCAGGAAATAAAGGACAAGTAGGCAAGGAGAAGAGAGTGTAGCATAACACACCGGTAAAAGTAAGAAGATACGTTTGTAACTATTTGACCACTTTTTCCCCCTCTTCCTCACTGTAGTGTTGGGGCAGGAGGAGAGAATAGCACGTGGTGTTATAACCTGGCTGTTTATAGCCCGTACAGTCAAGGAGGGTCTGCATTTATTTCCTGTGCTTTCTAACTGCTGAGTGTCTGATACTGTGGTCGTAATACATATGTATTCCAGTTATTAGCATTACAGGGGAAAAAAGGTCTGTATCAACTCAAGCGTTTTCCCAGTCAGTCACAAACCTCTTGTTATGCTATAGCTCCCTCAGCAAGAATTGGTATAAATGACTTGGATCGGGGAATATCTGTTCCTCTGCTGAAACAGGAAGGCAAGAGAAGGGATGTATTGGAGCAGGATGAAACAGGAGGCAGTATAAAGCTGGTAAACAAAAAACCCCAAAGTTGCAAGCTCTTGCGTTGCCACATACCACTGTGAGAAAGCTGAAGGTATCTGCTAGGCTGTGGAGCTACGCTGCGGCGTAAAGCAGGCTTGGGATTTGTGTGCCGCGGCCGAAATCCTTCTCCAGTACCAACTTTGTCAGGGAGGGAAATGGAGGAGAGAAGGGAAGAGAGTGGCCTGAGGAGACCCGTAGCCCTGAGGCTTTTAGGGAGGCCAGGAGAGAGACCTGCAGGGTGAAGCGAGTATATGTCCCGAGGTGGCAGAGCGCACCTTTCGTTTGCCGTGATGGCTGAGCCTGCTCCTGTGCAACGTGCAGAGAGATGTGATGACTTGAATGTGCTTAGAAGGATAAATTAGGCTGCTAGTGATGATTGTCTCTACTGTCGCAGCTCCTAGTCTTTATCCAGGAGGAGGGCAAAAGGATAGGGGAAAGATTGGGAAGTCCAGGGAAAACTAGTGAGGATTGTGGTGACTGGGATGAGCTCGTGGAGAGGTAGATTCAGAGCTACAACGCTTGACTTAGAACTGTATTGTTTGGAGAGGCTGGAGGAGCGGCAAGTAAGACAGCAAAGGAGGAGGAGGGAAGGGATGAAAATGCTTTGGCAGTCTAGGTGAAGAACAACTGAAAAAAATCAGCAAAACACAGAGCCTAGGACGAGTTCCTTCACTGCATGTGTGAGAGTGGGAGGAATTCTTCATTTGTCTTGACCCGTTAGCAAAGACTAAAACTTCCTAGCATTGCAGAACTTGGAAAACTTGCATACAGAATACAGATAAAAATCTTTTCCCTTACATCAGTACCTCTACAACCCAACCCAAGCAGTTGTTTTCCAGCACTCTCACTCTTCAGTGCACATACTGAATGCACCCTCCCTCCTAGGTATATGCTAAAGCCTGCAAGAGAAGTGGAGGGTTTGTTTTCATTTACCTTGAGATTTGCTGGAACAGGTTTCCTCTTAAGAGCATGATGTAAGCTGTGAATTAAATTGGATTGCCAATTCAAAACATGATATATCTGCTAGATCAAGAAATCTGCTTTAAAAAAAAAAAAGACTTTTACATTTACCATTCAGTTTTTCTGTTGGGAAGCAAACCTTTCTGGGTATCTGGCAAGAAATGGGTGAAATATATGGAAGTGTGATAATTTACTAGGAGATTCTAAAATTCTATTTCCAGTATAGCGTTGTTTGTTTTGGGGGGGTTGTTTGTTTGGTTTTTGGTTTCTTTTTTTTTGTTGTTGTTGTTTTTCTGTAGAAGGCTTGCATAGTCTGGTTAGTAACCCATGCTTGTATGACTTGTAAGCCTGGGAAATACAGTGTCTTCATGTAATTTTATCCATAATAATTATTCTATTCCAGCCACATGTTACACAGTGTGGCCAGGCTTCTGTGTTCTGCAGCAAGGTTTTTGCGGCTCTGAGGCATAGCCGACAAATGACCGCTTACAGTTGCGTTCCAGTTAGCGATGGAGGCTTCTAATTAATTTTTAGACGGACCGCAGCATGGTCGATAGGAGTAACTTGTATTTTCCAGAGCAGAGGAGGTCAGGCTGTTGCCCACAAGCCTTCAAAGCGTTTTGCGATGTGCCTAACAGGAATTTGCTGAAGATGCATGTGCATGGCGTAATTGTCATCACGACATTGGCCTGCTCTGCGTATTGCGTCCACTTCATGCAGTAGGTTCGTTACACAGGAATTGCACCTGCGTATGGAGTGCCCTTAGCCTGCCATGGTGTTTAATACCCCTCTGTTATGAGACTGATAGAGAATCAGCGGCAGTAATTCTGCCCAAGCAAGTTTTACTTGTGATATTTGTGCCACCAAAATGTGTTGCTACCTGTTTGTTGTCTTCCAGCGGTTATTACCTATCTCCAGAAGTACTCTCTGGGGGAGTAGTTCATGTGAGCTCTGCCTGTTCTGCTTCAAGCAGAAGTTTATACCTTTTAATTTGCTGGTTTGATTTTTATCCAGCTTTTCCTCCCCCCCCCCTTGAGCAGTTTATGATCCCATTAAGGGAGCTGCTTGCTTAGTAGATTCATGGGCGTGACAGCTTCTCTCCAAGGGTGGGAGGGAGAGAGGAGGACAGCAGTGTCTTCCACCTCCCTGCTCCATCCGGAAGATGCTGCTGACTAGACACTTCTACCCAGCCAGTGCATTCACGACTCAAGTGTTTGTCACCAATTTTGAATTTAGGAAACAAAAAAGAAACTCAAAAAAGTCACTCTGAAGGCAGCCTGGAACTCCTGCTCTGAGAAGTGTGCGTTCACTTCAAGGCTGTCATTTTTTTAGGGAGGGAATGTTTTTTGGCATAATTCTGCAGAAAGAGTATTAAAAGCAGAGGTTACCTGCTAAGTTCAACTGCTGCTGCAGTCTCATGCAACCACCATCTGTTGGAGGGAGAGACAGAAACATTGGCTTAGAGGATTTGGAGGCTGTTCTGCTTAAGTGTTGGGTTCCTATTTAATGAAGCATAAAACCAACAGCTTCCTTTAGTTGTAGAAGCACTTGATAAAGCCTTCATCATGAGTGTTTGGTAAACGGGTGGAGCCTGTGGCAAGCGAAGGCTAATCTCAGAGTCAGCAGCTGGCTGATCTCTGCCCATCCAACTATTTAAAACAAAGTGTTAAATACAGAACACATACAAAGTGCTATGCTGTAGCATGTGTCAAGCGGACTCCAATGCATCAGGCTTGCAGCTTTAATTTTCTAATGATTGCCAGTCGCTTAGCTGCTGTTTGTCCTGCCAGCTAATGAGCTCGATGAGGAAAGCTGCTCTCGATCCAACAGCAGGAGCAACGAAGCATCACTTGAGGGTGAAGTGGAACGTGTGCGCCCTGGTACGCTTTTTCTGCTGCCTGCTGTTTTTCAGGATTAGCACGTGTGCAGTGAGCCGCATCAGGGAGCAGATCCAGCAGAGAGCTAACGTGAGGAAAACAGATTGTGAGCGCTACTGGCAGTTGCCCAAGGAGGGACTCTTCCTTTTGCCTGCAGTTAAATCGGCTTAGAAGGACTGTGAATTGCGCAGGCATCTGAGCAGAGACTTAGAGAAGTGTTCGTGGCTCCTGTTATAACAGCGAGAGGTTGTAATATTGCTCACTGTTGAAAAATGGTATCCTCTTCTAGCAAAACTGAAAAACTAGCAACAAATGATTTCTTGCTATTTTGGTGCCTGCTGAAGTGGGTGATATTAAGTTTATCTCTAATTTTTAAAAGTAGGTATACGTCTCATCTCTAGCGAGGTTGCTTTGCTAACAGTAATTTTCCTTACCCTATGAAAGGTGCGTGTGTGGGGTTAGCTTATTGTAGGCATTAGCTTAGCTAATATTGTAGGCATTTCCTTTTCTTCCCCCCCAGCCCAAAGGAAAATACCATCCTCTGTCCCCCGAAAAGGGAATTTCAGGTACTTCTCCCTTTGCATCTGGACTGTGATACTGTGCTGTAGCTTAAAATCTAAGTAGATGTTCCTCCCTTCCCCTTGCTAGCCGTCTTTCAGCAGCTATCTATTTTGTCTGGTTGGCCTTCATTTACAAATGGTGGATTGATTTCCTTGCTCTCCTACTGGAGTTTAGCAGAAATAATCATTCTGAAGCAACGCTCACTTGGAAGGAACAGATAAAAGCTTGTTGCCAGCTCTGTGCTTTTACGTCTGGTAAATTGTCGGTGTGTAGAGGTAATGACTTGCGCTAGTGGGGCGTCAGAGGTTAGGTATACCCAGGCTTGCCATGGTAAACCAGTCGCTCCTGAGGTTACGCTCCTATTTCTTTCCGCCTCCTTGCTACCTTCTAGTGAAATTGAGAAGCGTGTTGTTAGGAGGTGTGACGCCTCTTTAAGAAAGCCATGCAAAAGGATTACTGATTTGTCTGCTCCTGCCTCCTTACCTAGCGTGTGAGTGACTTTTCAAGTCCTTTTATAGGGAGTTATTTTTCTAAGTTTTGAAACTTCAGAATGCGTTGTTTTTTCCTTCTTAAAAGCACACATTGACCTTGCAATCACAAAAGGTGATATGTTTCAGCAGTGTCTTAGTTTTACAGAGAATTTACAAGCCCTCCGTTTGGCAAGGTTTTGGGCAGAAGGGAAACTTGTGTAGTGACCTACTTGATTTATGATCAGGATGTTGCATCCGCGGTAGGAAAGATTGAGAACAAACCTCTTTTAGCATATTGATAGAGGTAAATGCATAGATCTTAGCTTGCGGCAGTATAAGTAGTCTTCCAACTGATGTAGAGATAAGTGAGTGTACATAGTTCCTTGAATAAGAAAGGAAGAGAAAAGGGGGGAAAACATCCAGGAAATTCTGCCAACTGAGCTCTGAGGTAATTAAGAAGCTCTTTTTCTTCTCAAAGAGTCTTGATACATTTCAGTATAGTGTGGAGCCTGGATAACACCTGGATTTGCAAAGCTTTATATGTCGTAATATGAGACTATATTTTTTGCAAGATTTAAATTGTTGATTTTTAGTAAAGTTGAGCAAAGACACTCTGTTTTCAGCTTCTGAAAGAGGGATTAATAGGCCATCATCAATAGATCCATTGGTACCAAATAAACCAACAAATCTTTCTGCCGGTATTAACTAAAGAAATTTCCCAAACAAACAGTTCTATTGAGACACGGAAGAATTAATGCTATAATTGATTTATCTGTTCAAAATGCCGAATGGTTATCAAACTGCAAGCCAAAGTTATCTACAAATGCCTTTCAGTATTGAATTATGCTTCAACTATCTGCTCGCAATTGTGTGCACTTCTAATCTCAGGTATTTGATGCTGGTGACTACTTCGGGATAATGCAAGTGGAAGAGGTGGAGGAGGAGGAGGAAGCTGATGAAGAAATGGAAGAACAATTGAAAAAGAAACCAAATCCTGGAAATGAGCCTTGTTTCAAAGTTATCGTAACAAATGAGAATGGTCTTCAAGCCTCCAATCCAGATAGGTGAGCAGGGGTTTCAGGTTCCATCTTTGAGTAGTCTCAAACCTTAAAGTTATGGCACATATGTACAGTTTGCTTTAAAACTTGTTTGAACCCATTCAGAAATCTCCCCCTTTTTTTTTCCTACTATAAAAAATAACTGTCTATTTCAATAAACATAAATAGTCTGCACGCTGTGAGGTATATGTTGCAAAGAGTACTTGTGGTGCAAGTATTTTATGTTATTTATTTTTAAAGCATGCAGGAGGATGCTTAGAAATCAGCATTAGCGAACTGATGGGAGAAAACAGGCAAAGGCCAAACTTGAAATGAATTCCTCAGAAATAATAACAAAACTTTGTAGCTGTGAGTCTGTGTGCCCTTGGAAAAAAAGAATTGTGCCCTCCACAAATCTCTGATGGTGTGATGAAGCTCAAACTCTTCTGGAGCTCTTAACATAGTTCTGCTCAGGTCAATAAAATTTCTTTTGCCAGATTATCTTTTTTATTTTTTTTTAGATTGTTAGATTTTGTGGATTTAGCTAAAGTTAGCCCTGATGAGAAAAACAATTTAGAGCGTAGATACCCACCTTTACATACCAGTTTTAACCTAAGTCATTGTCTTTCTGAGGCCACACTTAAATTTTGAACTTCAAAACACCTCCTGTGATAAGTATGGGCTTCCTTGCAGCATTCAGTTGTGTATGAATGTAGGAGCAGAACACCAACGCACCTGTTTGCTAACTGGGGTTTGAATCAGGTTTCCAAAAACCTTCCCCTTAGCACTCTCTGCAGTTTTTAATTTCAAACTTAAATGAAATTTCTTCTTTGTATGGAACCTGAGATATGATAATTGGTCAAATATATTCAGTGTACAGGGGAGGGGACTTGTTTTTAACTTTCTAAAGTGTGTTTTGGTGTTATTTCCCCCTCTCCCTACCCCTCATGCAGAATTGAGGTTTTTTCTCTGATCTAGTTTAATAAGAGGATAAAACCCAAATGTGCAGAACTTCTCTGTTTAAACAACTATGCTTTTGCTTTAAACATTATGCAGCCTAAAGGAGGGTTGTACTTATCAAGGGAAGGCTCTCCAGTTCTATGGTTTTGTTTAGTTTTAGCTTGGCAATTCTTTTAAAACAATACCTCTTTTTCTAAAAAGACCTTGGAGCCAAACAAAAGTGGATTTTTTTTTTGTTGGCAAGTGATATAGGCTTATGATGGTCAGACCTCTCCACCTGTTATTTTATGGATAACTGTAGATGTCGCAGAGCTTATCACTAAGGAGATCTGTGAATATTGTTGCAAAATAATATAGTGCTTTTCTTTTTCAGGCAAGAATTTCAGGTTGGTGCAGTGGAGATGACAACGACCAAAGGGAAGAGACCCTTGTGTCCTGGGCTATGAAAGGGAACTGGGGTTACAAACTGAGTGTGCAGCTCTATGTTTGTGCCTCATCTTCATGAGAATAGTAACTAATATACGTTCTAGAACAAAAACAGAGTGTAAATTAAGCCATAATGTTATTTCTGGGAAGTTGTTCCCATCCTTTTGTGTCACAATGTACACTCTAGGACTTGCTTTGGGAGCAGGAAAAGATGTAGTTGTCAAGCCATGTAGAAGGAAACATAGCCCTTATTCACAGGAGCCTTTGGCTGTGTACATGTGAAAATATATTGTTGTAATGTTACTGAAATCTCTTTAAGCATTTTCCTGATCGACCACGCCTGGACGTACCGTGTTGAACATGCCCATCAGCAGCTGCTTCATGTACCCGGTTTACTTCATAGAATGGCAAATCTCATGGGAATTGACTTTCACGGAGAGATCCCAGATGAGGGCACTATTGAGCAAGTGTTGCAGGAAATGTGGAAATACAATCAGACCTACCAGCTTTCTCAAGGGGTAAGTCTCTAAATTATTAGGATGTTAAACAGTTCTAAGTAATCCTGTGTGAAGACATTCCAATACATGGCTCTTAACAAAGATGTCTCTTTAACATTTAAAAAAAGGAAAAGTTCCTTTACTAGCATTTCAGAGCAAACTTCATCTTTGAAGGAGAGCAAGTGCCTTGCAGAGCTAAAATGCATAATGGTTTGCTACCTACTTTCTAGTAAGAACTTAGAGTATTCCTCTTAGCTTTGAGGGTTTTTTGTTGTTGTTTTAATAGAGGGGAAGAGCATGGTGGAAAACAAGGGGGTAGAAAAGGAAGACCTACTTGTGTGTTGGGGGCTTGGGGTTTTTTTCCTACTCTTAACTTCCTCATAGTGGAGGGGAGAATCTCACTTGAATCAACTGTCTCGCACAAAAGTGTGGCTGTCAGCAGCCATGGTCCCAGTCTCCCCCATTTGTATGGAGCGCTGTATGCAACAAGAGTGTATTTATGTTGTCAGATAACTTAGCTTCCTGGTTTGTATTTGGCAGCTGATTGTCCACACTCTGTAGATGTTAGTTCATCCTCAGGCTCTTCCGGTGATAACCGACTAGCTTCAAAAGAGAGCCTAGGGGTGTTTCTGGGGATAGCTTCCACCAGGAGCTGCTACCTATAGGTAGTGTAGATAAGGCCACAACAGGCTTGTCTCCCGTTGCCCTACGCAGTCGTTCAGCACTGTCCTAGCAGGTCTTGAGCCTTCAGATACACCCACGTGCATAATGCCATTTCTGAGGGAATGCAACCTTCAGTGCTGTGTTAACAATTCTCTTGTAAGGGCTGTTCCCTAGCTCCTAGGCTATTTCAGGTGTTTTGGATTAACAAAAAAGGTGAATTCCCTTGAAAGGGAAAAGGTGAATTCTTAGGGCCAAGTCCTATGCAGATTGGACGGGACCTGTCTGTTTTACCAGAGGCTAACCTTGAGCAGTGTGAACATGACCAACCTGTTCCACTTAGCTCAGGGGCCCAAGGTTGCTCCTTGCCCTGCAGTACACACCTTTATCAGGGTAGGTGTAAGCTTACTTCAGGGTAGCGTCAGGCCTGAAAAATCCCTGTGAAAGGGATTCACTAGTGGACTGCTTTCTTTATTTATCCTTTAAAAGGGAGATCTGAGCAGTGCCTCTGAGACTTTCTACCCTGTGCCTTTGTTTCCCATTTGTTGTCATGAATAGCTCATGAATCATGTGGATTACCTGTCTTACCAACTGAAAAGTGCTTGCCTGGAAGATGATTCATTCAACCTGTAGCTGATCTGGCTTCTGTTCCCTGTCTGGCACTGGACCACTTGAATAGGTTAAGTCAAGCTTTAGCTTCTCTGTTTCCTCCTCTCAGTGCCTCTGTTTCTGCATCTGTAGAAGACTGGTGCTAGTATTACTAGGAAACTTGAGTTTTATTCATTTATTCATGATTTTATCTTGAGAAGTGTTGCAGGAAGGTATGGTTTGGTGATGCAGTCCAGCAGTCTTGTGGCCAGCTGTTGCCTCAGGCACAAGTTCTGTTCTTGTCCCATCCTACAGCTGTATTCTTCAAACTCCTCACTGCAAACTGATACTGATAGAAACTTAAGGAAAACTAACCCTGCCGGGGGGGGGGAAAAAAAAAAAGCCTTTTTATCTTGAGAAGTGTTGCAGGAAGGTATGGTTTGGTGATGCAGTCCAGCAGTCTTGTGGCCAGCTGTTGCCTCAGGCACAAGTTCTGTTCTTGTCCCATCCTACAGCTGTATTCTTCAAACTCCTCACTGCAAACTGATACTGATAGAAACTTAAGGAAAACTAACCCTGCCGGGGGGGGGGAAAAAAAAAAAGCCTTTCTGGTTTATCTCCCTGGACTGTGGCTTGTTTGGTGCAGGGGAAGCAGGTCTGGTAAGCAGTAGCGCTAGCTAAAGAAAGAAGATAGCAATGTGCAGCTGGGATAGGAACAGGCTTGTCTGCTTTCACGGTGGCTGGAGGTTAGACTGGCTTAGCCTCAGACGTGCAGAGACGGGAGTGTTATTCTGTACTTACCACCTGCTCACAGTCTTGGCTGAAGTGGGGAAAAGGCGAAAAGTTGCAGGATGCACTGCCAGCGCCTTCTGTCTTGCAGTGCTCTTCTAGCAATTGACATGTGCGGGATGTCTCGCTTCTCTTTATACAGACTGCAGAGGAGAAGGTTCCTGTCTGGTACATTATGGATGAATTTGGATCGCGTATTCAGCATTCGGATCAGCCTAGTTTTGCAACAGCACCTTTATTTTATATGCCTCAACAAATTGCTTACACTCTTCTCTGGCCCTTGAGAGACCTTGAAACTGGTGGTAAGCATGTCTGTCATGTATGTTTCTTTTCATCCCCACAACAGAAAATAGGTCATATTCTTACAAATCATTGAGCTCTAAAATATGTCCTCACAGCTGTTTTAAGACTAAAATGATTGCATGTTTGTAATCCTATTGAATTAAAAAATTATCTTGTGTTTCTAGTGCCATAACTTAAGTGAGATGGAGACCTTTATCTGTCCAAAAACGTTAGTAGTATTTTATTGTCAGAGGCCTTGAATCTTGCATCACCGTTCTGATGAAACCACTGATTTGGACATAGGATTTTTTTTTTTTTAAAAAACTTCCTCAAAACATTTGTTTTGTCTGTAATTTTGAGTCACAAAGCAAAGTGCTCAAAGCTGGGCAATACAGGAACAAATGGTTAGTCTGGCAACCTTATTTGGGGCCTCTCTTATGTGCCCGTCATGTAGAAGGGATACCGGTATTCAGCTATATGACTAAACTGTCATGAGCTGGCTGGCCACCGACTAAATTTTGCAACCCAAATAATATCCTTTTTAATGTAGCTACTTTTTAATTCTAATTTTGCATTTAAATCACAAAAGTTGTGATATTACTCGCTGTCAAGCCATCATTTGTGTGATGTGGCAGAAGGAAGACTTTCAGTGGAAGATGAAAGGCAGTTCCTAAAAGATTCTTTTTTTGCCACAGATGAAGTGACTCGTGACTATGCTTATGGGGAAACTGACCGTTTAATCAGGAAGTGTGTCTTGTTACCATGGGTGCCTACTGAAGTGTTGGACATCAACTGTTTTACCCCAGAGCCATCAGATGAGCATTACCAGGTAGAATTTTAGCAGGTCTCCTATTTTCTCTCTTTTAAGAAGACGCAGCATCTGAGAACATTGCAAATGTGCTGATTTTGCTTCTTTTTTGTCTTAAAGATTGATAGGAGTATTAGGTGTTAACCAAAACCTGAATCACTTCAAAGAAAGTGTGCTGAGACAAGAAATCTCTTACACGTAATATATAATTTACTGTTCCAAAACTGAAGCATCACAAACTATCTGTATTATGTTAGCTTATCTGTTCTATTTCTTACTAGAGCCATGGTATCGTCTAATAAAATAACTCGTGTTCATAAACACATGCTGCAGAGTACTACATATAAGGTAGCTATCTTCCAGTTAGATATTGGAGACATTGTCTAATAGACTTACACAGTTGAATTTATTATTACAGTACTTCCTGTCAGTCCTGAATTACAGGAAGATTTATCTTTTTGTTGCAAGTGCTTACACTTTTCAACCTGGTTATGCATTTAATGTTGTGATTTAGAAGTATTAAACATTGGAGCAAAGACAGCATCTTTAATTTGATGGCCCTGTTAGAAGTCCTTGTCTGTTGGGTTTATTACTGAAATTAATGCTGTTTGAAATCTCTCCTTTTCATGAGACAAACCTGCATTAGATCCCTTTTTTTTTTTTTTAAGAAAAAATAAAGGATCATGATTCTTCATGCATAAGAGGATGCTGTACTGGCTGCTAACAGCTTTCAAAGTGCAACTTTTAAAGATGTGTCTATACTCTATCACCAGTAATCTCCTTATGATGGAGGATAGGCAAAAACTGCTGGATCCAGCTTGTTACTAACAATATCTAGTAAGAAAAGTTGTTACCTTTATCTGGCAGGAGCAGGTTATGCCTTGAAGATAGTTAGGCTGTTTTGTAACTTAAGTCACAATGATTTACTGGGATTTTGCATGTTTGGAAGAGGGGTGGATGTACTTTGTGTTTGCAGATGAGGAACAACAATGAACCCACAGTTCTGGTTTTACAGATGTGCTCTTGGCAAAAGTGTGTGGATCTCAGATAAGGCAATCTTTTACATGGGTTTTTAATTCTGTTTTGGGATGATCAGGCTTATTAAAGAACTGTGTGTGGTAAGTAAGCGAATAATATCCTCCTTTGCCACCCCACCTTAAAAACATGCATCTTCTCAAAGCAGCCTCTTTCTTTCTTGTCTCTTCCACTCAGCTGTCCAGGAGAGATGATAGCGAAGACTTGATGCAAGTACCAACCAACAGAGCTTTCTTTGACTCAAGAACGTTTAGGTGTAGATTGAAGTTGTAGGCTGGTGACAGGCCAGTGAAAAATAGCTTAGTGCATAGCATAGCCTTAAACGCCAAAATGGGAAGTCTAGAATGAGATACCACGTTGCTGATGTTTCTGCAGCCCATGTTTTTGTACACAGTGCTGCATGCACAGAAATACACGCACAACTTCAGGGATCTGTTTGCAGCATTAACATGCGAGCCAGCAATTTTGCAGAGAATTGCAATTGTGTGAAAATGTTACTAAAAATGTATGCGAGTCATACCATTTCAGACTTAACTTTGCCGCTATCTTTGCAACATCTGTAGCTCAGAATGTTTTGCTACTATGCAAATAACTATTTGTAGCTAAACTGACTGTGGTGTTTTTATTGTGGCTTCCTCTAAATTGAATAGAATAAGAAACATAGCTGGCTAACTTAGCTAATTTTCCTTTAAATAAATGTGAAAGGCTCACGTGTTCTGCCTAGAAGAATCACAGAATCGTTACAGTGACATCATGGCTTAACTTGTTCCTATTTGTTTTGTTCTGTTGCCTGTTTCTGTTCTTCATCACAGACCACAAAGGTTATTACTTCCATCATTACCCATAGTATTAAGTTATGATTACAGAAACCAGTGTCAGAGGTGGTGATTAGGAAATGTCTGGGAGGGCTGAAGTATCTCTTGGGGGACTAGAGTAGTCGCTCTTCTGCAATAGCTGCCTGAGTTTGAGTCACAATTAAAACAGTAATGAATCCTCTGGTAGTGTTCTGACAATTGTAGTCTTACCCGCTTGAAAGTACAGGCTCCCTTCCTATTGTTCAGTGACTCCAGGAATTATTTTGTATTTGCATCACCTTGCCTTTATTAGAAGGTGCTGCCTAGGATCTTTGATTAGGATTTTGGTTCTGCTTATATTTTCCAATGTTTATGATTTCAGTCCCTATAACAGGCTTAAAGGTAAAGGGCGATGTGTCTGGCGGGGAAGACTTTTCACCACTGCAGCTTCTGAGGACAGCCTGCAGCAACTGGAGCTCAGGGAGTTGTGGCGGAACTGCAGCTACTCTGGTTTCCAGAGACACACTTCTCCCGTCCCAGACTTTCTGTAAGGAGTTACTTCCTTTGGCAGGGTATCAGCAGTGATGCAAATATGATGTCTTTTCTTCTAACAGTCAGAGGTGTTGTAAAAGGTGGAGTGAGGTGGTTGTTGTTGTTGGGTTTTTTTTTTCCCCGAGCATGCTAACTGGTAAGGACTGCAAAAAGCCTTCTCTTGATTTCTACGGGAGCAGAGCTAGGTTTCAGCCTTCTGTACAGTTTTCAGTATCTGTAAGAGAAAAAGGTCTCTAAAGGGTCAACCCTCGATTGTGTTGGCAATACAGAAACTTTCTCTTTTAGTGCCTGTGATTCTCTCTGGCTTGGTGTTTTGTTTTGTTCAAAGTTTAGGAGAAGCAGTTTTTGTGTGTGTGGGTGGTTTTTTTTTTTTCTTTCTTTAGGGTTCCTTTACCATGTTGATAAGCCCTCGTGTTTAAGACATACTTCTTATTCCTTCTTCACCAGTAGCCTCTTACTTCTAATTCCCTTCTGCCTTTACTCTTGTTCTGACTTTTCTGAGCAGCGTTTTACCCGACAGAATACATTTCTCAAAATGCAGCTCCGATGGAGTTCAATTGAGCCAAAGACAATGGACTGGTCAGATGTGCAGATGGACTGTCATTTTTACCATGTTTATAAATGCAGCTGTACACGTATATTTGAATATGTATATGGAGATAGGGAATTGCAGAGAATAAACTGAAAGATTTGCAATTTGATGAAACTTTAATAGGCTAATGCTATTAAAAACACTTAAATGAACACTTCATCCTATTGGCTATTTTACCTCTAGCTGACTTTTAAAAGTTGTATTAATTATTTCTCAATAACTTATCTCATAAACTTGATTATGCACCATTTAAAAGTCAAGGTTTGCCAAAATTGCTATTCGCGTCCCCGGCATGTTGCGGAGTTTGACCCAAGGTTGCCCACTTATTCTACCTAGCATTAACTTTTTGTGGTTTTGTTTTTCAGGCTATTTTAACAGAAAACAAAGAGAAACTGCCTATAGCAATAAAGCCATCAGTTTATGATGAAGACAAAGTTTTCAAGTACGTATCTGCAAACAAAATGCTTTTCTTATCAAGATAAGCATAGTAGTTGCAGTGTGCTGAACAGTGTTTTTCCAGCTTTGAACAACAGAGGCAAGTTGAAAATGAGTTTGTATGTAGTCACTTGCTTAAAATTCTGATTTGCTAGTTCTTCCTGTTAGATTCTTCTTAGGAAATGGATTGCCAGATTTCTGAAAGGCGTTTAGATTTTTAAATAAGTGCCACCTTCTGGGTGAAAGAAAAGTTGCATAATGCTGTAGTGTTGCTTGTCTGTTTTCACTAGGTAGCGTAACTAAAGAAGGTAACAAAGACTTCAGTTCTGCAGTGTAGCATGTACGTCCACAGGGTACAAGTGCTCCTCTGTGCTGTGTGAAAATATAGCAGACCGTTGCCGTTCCTGTTCAGATGAGATTGCCGGACAAGAATTGTGTCAAAGTCTGGGATATAGAGGGAATTCTGTCCTACTTCTCAAGTTTTACATTGGATGTGTACTTGACTACACAAGAATGCAGCAGATGGTGTGAAAATACTTCAGAAGAAAGCTGGAAGAACACTGCGGAGATAAGGGGTTGTAAAGGATTTTGGATTGTGAGCAAAAACAGTGCCACTGCATGGCTAGACTACCTTATTACTAGTTTTATTCTAGAAAAACAGGCAGTTATGTTGCATGTGCTGTGAGTCTTGCTCCGTGGTGTTTGTAGTGTAACATTGGGAACCGAGTCCTAGTACACAGCATTTTGCGCAGCAGAAGAAATTAGATCTGGTGGGTTTACTCATGCCCCAGCTTCTTCTGTTAGAGTTTATTACCCTCTAGACCACCTTTTTCCTAAGGGACAAGAAAGGACTATTGAAAGTCTGGAGTCCCTTTCAGTTGAGAGGCATTTGTTGACTTGTGCGGTGGTAGCCTAGACTTCATTATGCAGTTGAAATCTCTGATTACGAGACTGTGAGGATAAGCAAAAGCTATTTTTTTTCCTTCAGTGTGCTTGCCCCTGTTTCAGTTGAGGAAGACAAAAATATATGCATCCTAACAGACATGGAGAGAAGCAATGAGGATGCTGGGACATGCCAACTTGTCTTTCACTGCTACCCCATTCTTGCAGTGCCTTTTCTTTTGCATTTCAAATGTCATGTGAACGGCATTCATGCGGGGTGGGGGGGAGACACACGACATGTGCTGCAGTCTCCGTAGTCTATTTCTGAGGAATGTCGTCAGCGCTCTGTCTACATGCTCCTAGGGCTTTCCTCTCCTCCTCTTTACCGAAGTTCCTGCCTGGGAAGGAGAAAGGAGAGCAACTTTTAACAGTCCGCAGGAGGCCGAAAGGTCTTCCAAAAGATTCTGAGTTTCATCTGCTAGAGGCTTCCTCCAGGAGTGGGGTAGTACCTCAGAGTCCACGTGGCCTAGCAGGAGTTGCAGTGCTCGCGAGCCCTTGACCTCCTTCAAAGCTTTAAAGACTTTGAGGCTGTCACCACAGACAGGCCGATGGGGACATATAAAGTTGGGTAGATGTGTATAGCACATACATTACGGGCTATGCCTTGTGTATTCTCCCTGTTTAAGGGAATTCAGAAAAAGAGATGAAATCCATGAGGTTGCAAAGTTTAGAAGCCTGTGCCTAGGACAAATTTTTACACTGTCATCTTGTTTCCAAGTAGAGCTAAGACAGAATGAGAAGATGAAATACAGTGTAGAATTTAGCTTAAAAGTTGATGGGAGCAAGTACTTGTAGTTTAATACAGCAAAATGATAGGTTAAAGTAGGTCTTGTTGCATTAATGCAAACTTCTGCCCAAAGGAGACTGAGGTATCCAGCTGTGCTGAGTGTTGGCTTGGGGGGGGGGGGGGGGGGGGGGGGGGGGGGAGGTAGAAGTGGATTAAAAAAACCTAATATTTCAAAGACAAAATTCACATGAAAAGGCCTTCCAGTGTGTATTAGGCTTGATTATCTCTCTTTCTCTTGATCTTGTCGTTCCTATTTCTCTTCAGCTGTGTCAGTCATCTTCAAAGGTGCCCAAAGAGCTGTTATAAGACATCTCCTTTGTTTTGATTGGTCTTGTCAGCTCTGTGCCTCAGGCATTGATTCTCATAACCGCTTCTTAGCGCTGCGTGCTTTGAGTAAATTAAGTAACGTGTACCATTGTATTTTATCTTATTTGCACAACTCCACTGAATAGTATCTTTCTCTTTAATGCTTGACTTTAAAATATGCTTATTAGGCCTTCTGTGTGATGGAGGAAAAAAATCATTCAGGAAGTGTAGTTGACTGCTGTCATTAATTCAGAGCGAATCATTCATATTGAAATGAATGTTCCAAAATAGGTTAGTTAATGTTGCAGTATTGCCATGTAGAGATTCTGTCATACACAAAGCCCCACTCTTATCTGTCTTTCTATCTATATTTTTATGTATATGTGGGATGTGCACCAATTTATTTAACTGAAAACAAAGGAATAACCAAAGTCTAAAGTCTGGGATCCTTCATAGGAGAGCCGGCATTCCCCTTAGGGAACAACTAAGGAATCGCCCACTAGTTTTCAGATGCCTTCCCTTACGGCCTGTGCTCTTCAGTGTAGAGGTCTGGTTTTTCTCAAGTGTATGCATAAATACTGTCATCTAAAAGAGGCAGATTGTCAAACTCGGTGGCAATTGCTGCCAGCGAGATACATTGATTTATATAGAGGGTTCGTATAAAATCTTCATTCTTGAAATTACATCTTCTGCCTTCCAGTCTTTGTGGCAAGACTTTTGCAGTAATAGGGTCATGTGTAGAAAGGATAGAGTAACGTAAAAACTTGGAGTGAGTGGAATGGCCTTATTTTCATTCTAGTCTTAACTTCCAGCAGCACCAGGCAACTGTAATGTATACTTTAGCTACCTTATTTCAGCGGGCTTCCCGTGCTCAGCAATGACAGACTGAGCTGCTGTGTTCCTTTTGTTTCTTGCTTTCTTGCTGTGTTTTCGTATGTTCTGTAAGCCACTCTGAAGACGTATAGCCCAGAGTGCTCTGGCACATTAATTTCAAGATGTCGTAGCAAGGCTGCTGAGATTAAGAAAGGAGGCTTTCTATTGATAATGTGAGTAGCACCTCTCTGCAATTTTCTGTGCAGCTGTAAGCTACTAAAATAAGAATGTCTTTCGAATAGTATTTGGTAGCTTTATCTTACAGAAGATAAGAGGATTCTGTTTACCTAGAAAAGCAGCCCAGTGTTATGAACTCTTGTGGTTGTGGGAGACTTTTGAGAGAGAAGTATTAACTTTTTAGGAAGGAGTTTCTTTATGTCTAATGCTTCACAGGGAGAAAAGAGTATGGGGATCTTTCTTTAAGCCTGCTGTTCAGAATAACCAAATGCAGGTCAATACTTCTGCTTCCATGTGGTGTAGAGCTTTTCAGTGACCTAACACCGGGGGGGGGGGAAATGGATTTATGGATGTGCAAGAGGAGGTGACCCATCTCTCAGCTGAATCTCCAATTAGCATAAAGTACATCCTGCTCTTCTGCTGAGAAAAGTAGCTGTTTGGTGCCCAGCCAGCCATGGAAGTTGATTGCTAAATGATGTGTTTGGAAACGTGGTATAAAAGCAGTGAGGAAGAAGAAAAGAGAATACCCTGCCTTGATTAAATGATGTCTAGGGAGTGATGGGGAATAAAGATTTACTGAAGTTATCAGAGGCTGCCTGACTCTCCACAAGTTTCCTTCCACGCTGCCAAAGGTCAAATGCCTTCACCTCAAACCTTTGTTACAGTGTTTTTCATATCATGGTTTTTTTCTGACCAGAGGAAAGAGGTTTGTGTGGGAGATATGGGGGTTTTTTGGCCTTAGACACCAATTAATTGGTTTTTAACACCTTAGGTTATGGTTCAGCCACTTTCAGTCTTTCAGTTGCTGTAGCTGGAAGAACTGTTGTGAGAACCATCATTTGATGAAACAGAGCTTTCAAAGGTATTTACTGTAGCTGCAGCTGGCGGCAGAGGAAGCTCTATTTTTTTTGATTCCCAGGAATCCCCTAGTGAATTACTTCTGCTAATTCCTGTAAAAATATATTTTTTTTTTATTTTTCCTATAAGTGCATTAAAGGTGTATGCAAAGGAGTCCTACCTGTGACTCTTCATAGCCTCCAAAATAACAGTAATTGTGAACCAAGATTTCACTTCCTTCCTGGGGAAAGCAACCGTAACTGGGCTGTTTTTACAGATAACTAACTGAAGAGTATGTATAGCTTTAGCCCAAGCCGAACGATGGCTGTATGCCAAATCCATAACATAGATACAACTCTTATTCACCAAGCCGTGTTGCTTTTCAGAGTGAGCATACCAGCTTCTATACTGAATTGTGTTATTTTTAGTTTCTTTCCTGAGCTGGAAACCAGATGCTGCTCACGAAGCCTGGAGTCAAACCGAGGAATCCTGAAGGCCGGCATGGCAGCGCTGCACCACAAAAAATTGTACACTGTGTTGATGAAATATTTTCGTGCCCTGCTCAAGGGGCTTGATCGCATGAAGGAAAACAAACTAATGTTGCTTCCATTTATTTGGTGGTTCCAACTTGTAAAATAGGTCTGTTCTGTAGAACTGATGATCCTCTTGCTGCTAAAAGCTATCAGCTGGCTTTGGATCCAGCTGCAAAGGGCCAGTGTTGTTGTGAGGTGAGATCCTGTATTGTAGGATGTGCTGATAAGGGACTGAGCTGGGGCTGAACGAGCAATCTAAATTCTAGTGTTTCTTGTGTTGTATATGTTGCTGCATATGTTTTTGTGTGGGGATGCTGGATGCCTCAGTACTCTGCGGCAACATTGTACATCTTCAGGTCGCCACTTTCAATGCCCTTTGCTTCAGTGAGGGCTGAAAGTTGCTCCAGTCCAGTGGCTGTTTGGATAGCTTGTGTGAAATGAGGTTGGTGGGTCTTGTGCTGCATCTTGCATCAGATCTGGTAGTGCTTCGCCCTGATGTACAGACTTGGAAAGAGAAGCCGTGTACTGTGAAAAGAAACGCTAATAAGTCTGTATAAAGACGTTAACCTCTTTCTGCTGCAAGAGTGTGGAAAGATCGGTGACTTCTTTCACCGGGGATGTTGGGCTGCCTCTCCTCGTTAGCAATGAGTTCATCTCTTGGACTCCAGTGTAAATAGTATAATCAGTGCAGATGTCACACATGGAGCTATGCAAAACACTTGTGGCAATATGCAAAACATCTTGCATGCTTTTCTTTTTAAAGAACATATTTCACCTTGTGACTGTGCTATTTTTACAGTTCTTAATTTCAAAGAAGCCTCCCTCAGGGGAGTATATCTTCTGGTTGGTTAGTGTGAGAGGAGGAAAGGAAAGTCACACAACTGATGTGAATAGGACTGGAGAAGAGGAAGAATATAGTGGTTCCTCAAGAAAAGAAAATGAGCTGATGCTTAGTCTGTTTAAATGTTTGCTTACCCTGAAAAGCGTTTTTCTCACAGTGTCATTTTCTGTGTCCTTGCTCAGAATTCTGAATCAAGTGACTTCGCTTTAAGCTGTAAAATCATCAAAATGCTCTGTATTGCTGTCCGCTTATTTTGGCATGCCAAAAAAGCTCAGTGACAGAGGTACAAGCTGTTTGTAGGTTAAACTTAGGGGAACTTCCTAAGATATGCAAGATCTTACCTCCTTCTTGCTTATGCTCCGTATTGTATATTCAGGGTTCGTTTGGGGAGGTGGGGGGAGAGGGAGGTAATGTTAACTCCAGAGTCATGTGTACTTTTCTGTGCATACGTCATGCATGTGCTTTTGTATATTTTGTTTGTTTGGAATTTTTTTGTGTGCGTATGCAGCTCTGAACAAATGAGAATAGTCTTCTGAAGCCACTGAGTTAAACTGACTGATTTCCTATGTGTGTGTTTGTTGTGGCTGACAGCAGGTAGTGATTTTTTTTTTAGGGTTTCTCCAGCAATGGAGGCGTTTGCAAGGTATCTCAGGGAACTCATATTAGTGCTCCTCTGTCAGAGGCTTGGTCACTCTTCTGAATTGCTGTTTCTGTGAAAGTTGTAGGAGCTAAACCGTTCTTGAGATTTCTATCTCAAAGTATGATTTGTTTTTGTTTTGTTTTTTAATCTATCTATCTTCTACTTAAAATGTTCCGAGGGGGCTAAGAAGTTAAGGGAGTCCCATGGATAGCATGTGTGGGTAAAGCATAAATCCTGTAGGAAGCCAAGCTTTACAAAAAAAAATTTTAAGTGCACCACTTTGTTCAAGCTACAGTTAATATCAGTTCTGAGGAGCCAAACTGATAATTTTCTTCATGTGCGTTT